CAGCAGCCAGGGACCACACGGGATCAGGAGACAGGCGATTAACCCAAAGGCAAGCGCTTAAGACTTCAAAGTGCAAACAGCTACGGCTCTATAGTCAGGCACTGTTCTGGGGACAGAGGTTGAGAGTTGCTGCGTGCCCGATTCGGGTGGGATGCGCCAGGGGGTCACATTGTTTGAGACCCCTGCCACCTTCAGGACTGGGTGCATTTTGCTGCCACATCAGTAGAAAGAGTTTAGAGGAAGTTTGAATTGCTTTTTTCAGAGGCGGAATGGTTTTTATAATGTGCACCCGGATACAGACTCCTGGGGCCTCATCGGCCCGTTCAGCAAAAACCCACACAGAACGAGACTGTATCCTTTGATTAATTTCTGCTAGTCTCAGATGCTGCTCTCATTATTTTCCTTTTTTTTGTAGCAGTAATAGAACAAAGTAACACCGTCTACATAAGGAGTACATACATGTCCTTCATGGCTGGCCAATCTTTCATTGCCCATTACCCACAACCCCCTGCAGCATCCTCCCGACAATTCATCAAAGGCTTCTAGTCCCAGATGACTGGTGGCGCAGCAGCAGCAGGCATCTCTCTCTTTCACTCACTCTCTCTCACTCACTCTCTCCGTCTTGCACTCTTTATTTCTCTGCCTCAGCCTCCCTTCTCCGTTCACTCTTTTATAGATAGACATAGCAGGCATCCACCTCCTCTAGCTCAGCACTTGGATGCATTCAGTGAAATTAACCTGCATATGTGTCAACGCTGCTCGATTCCTACCCAACAGGCTCATTTCTATCAGCACTTCTTCTGCCAAATGCCATCATTGAAAATGGTGGTATCATAAAGAAAGAGCTAAACGCAACAAATGTTACTTGCTAATAGTTGCTAATAGTTATTTTAAAAAGAATCATCTTATTGTGGATATTTGGTGTAAGTATAAGAGTGTTTGTTAATAAAACTTTTTGGATAGGCAGATATATACTGACAGATATATTGACTAATAATGATTACCGTCTATATATATTGATAGTATGGGGTCAGTAAGATGTATTTATATACGAAAGAAAGAAATTAAATTAGTCAAAAGCACAAATGTTTTCAACATTGATAATAATAATAATAAATGTTTCTTGAGCACCAAATCAGCATATTATAATGATTTCTGAAGGATCAGAGCTATGGCTGCTGAAAATTCAGCTTTGCCATCACAGGAATAATTACAATTTTGAAATATTAAAATTACATTAAAATGGAAAACAGTTATTTTAAATTGTAATAATATTTAATACTTTTTTTAATTAAATGAAAGCAGCCTTGGTGAGCATAAGAGACTAGTTTAAAAAAAATCTTGCCATCCTCAAACTTTTGAAAGATAGCAAATAAATATTGGCATTATATCAGCCAGGTGACTATGTCTTTTTAGTTGAAATAATTATTAAATAAAAAATAAATAGGAATATTAAATAATAGTGTCTACATGAACATTTGGTTGGGTTAATTAAGGCCTTCTGAAGTGACGTGCTGTCTTTGGAAAGATCCTCATTGATATGAATATCCATATACATATCAATATCTATATCCATTATAAAGCTTTATAATGGCAGTGAATGGGGGTTGAGATTTTGAAGCCCCAAAAGTTTGAGAGCCCATTCAAATCTGATTCAGTTCAAGTCTGAAAATTTGTGAATCAATTTATGAACTCCTTTTGAACAAAAGGTCACAAGTCTAATCTGCCAATAGATAATTTAGCAAAACAGATGCATTTTCACTGGCGGTCTCAGAGCTTTGGACTGCACTGTATATGTACTGATCAATCACAGTACGTCTCTGGTGCCAAAAACAATCTGCTTTCCATTGCATTAAATGGTAATCGTGAATACAATTATTTTGCTCAAAACGTTCCTTATACAAGGTTCTGTTTATTCTAGCAAAATAAAAGGTGAATGTAGGAGTCCATGAAATTTCCTGTTGGCAGTTTTTCATTTCTATGCTAATTCGGCTGAATGAGAGTTCGAGCTACAGTGGCAAGGCTAAACAGCCTCTGTAAAGAGATGTCTGTGTGCAGCGAGCTTCAGCAGACCTTGAGGCAAAGAGTGAAAAGAACGAAACAGCTCACAAAAGAAACAAACGTAAAGGCTGAGACGATCACCACCCCCTCCCCAACCTCTCACACTCTCTCTCCTTTCCTCTAGTCTCTCCTTCGCTTTGTTCATATACACACACACATACAAACACACGCCCCCACAGACACACACATCCTTCTTCACTCACATCTACCCGCTCCTCTCGTCTCCCCTTTTTACCATTTTCATCTCTGTATCTGTCATTTTGACAGTGCAAATATTCTGAATCCTGCATTGTCAAAGCTTTTCATTATCCAGAGTGATTAACTGTCAAAGCGAACACCACACCGCATATTTTGTTTTCTCACAATGCAACGGTTTGTAGATGTATCCAGCAATGATCAAAGAGATCAAGCGCTAATTTGTTGGTTCAATTAGTGAGTGAATATGTCAAGTTACACGGACGAAATTCAAAAAGTGTGTGATGTTTTCTTATAGACGGCCGAGTATTGTTAGGTTTTTGTGTATATGTGTGCACATGCAGTATTATGGCACAAGTAGCTGGTGGTTTTAAGTGAATGGTTGCGATTCGCGAGCATATAAGGTGGGGGGTGGAAGGGTGGTTGGTTGGTTGGTTGCTATGCATCATTCTCGACTCCCTTTCAGTCCCCCTTGAATGCTGGAGTTGAGTTTCCATGGAAACACTGACCCCTGGGAGACGGCGCTTTTCAGGAGGAGCCTCTTTTTACCTAGTGATTCACAGCTCAGGAAGTACAAGAACAAAACACACAAGCATCTTTATATTTACCTTCTAATACATAATTTTCTGGGCTTACCAGTGCCGCAGTTTTCCTCTCTTGTAATTTATTTAATAATATAATTTTAATCATTTTTTGTTTCCTATCTCATATTTGTTTTTATATTCTTCTTTTATATTCTCAGATAAACCAGTGTCATTTTAGTATTATTTATAGACTATTGTAGTATTTATGAATATTTTCCTTTTTTTTTTAAATTATATATATTTATTAATTTTCAAACAACTTAAAATCGAACAAGAAAAAATTTATAAAAATAATTTATGGCTCACCACTCCATTAAATCAATTTGAGAATGAAATGAAATATTGACATAAACGTACCAACAATATGCCTTACATATTTGTACTCTAATATGTCTCACATATTTAAACCTCATTAAACAAACCCTCTAATAAGAATAGAGGATATATCTAAGCCCATATATATTAAAAATGGGTCCCACCTTCTATGAAATATAGCATCCTTACTATAAGAAGCACAGGTTAAGTAATCAATATTTTACATTTTTAATTTTAATTAAATTTTTTAAAAAAAATAATAGTTTTGCCATTTTTATTAGTTTTGTTTTTTAATTTGTATTTTTTTATTTTAGTATTCCCAACATGTTTTATTTAAGATATATTTAAATTAGCGAAAATGGTTTAATGGTTTTATTTAACGATACCAACACTGAGATAAACTTTTTTTAATACATTTGTTGTATTTTAATGTGATATTTTACAGTCTGCCTAATGTGACACAATCTGAAAAAATTTTTTTTATAGAAAATTCTAAAATTCTAGAAACAAAATTTCTCTAATTCTTTTATATTATTTTCATATTTTATGAGCTCAAAATGGTGACCAATTACAGCACCTAAAATACATAGTTACCCTTACACATTCACATAACTTTTAACTTAAAATAATTAATTCAAGGCATTAATGTTTGCCTACAAAACCACCACTGGCTCTGCACCCATTTACCTAAATTCATTACTTCAGAGTTATGTGCCCTCTAGAAGCTTGCATTCTGCAAGTGAACGGCGTATTATTGTGCCATCTCAAAGAGGCACAAAATCACTTTCACTGACTTTTTCATGAACTGTTCCCTCCTGGTGGAATGACCTGCCCAACTCAATCAGAGCAGCTGAGTCCTTAACCATCTTCAAGAAATGACTAAAAACACATCTGTTCCACCTTTATTTGACCCTCTAACTCTAGCACTTTCTATTCTATTTTAATTATACTTTATCTATATTTATGTTTTTTGTGTGTGTGTGTGTGTATATATATATATATATATATATATACACACACACACACACCTGGCTACGTGTACTGTGTTAGGCTAACAGAGACTTGTCATTTGCACTTATATATTGTTGCTCTTTTGTTAGTTTTGACTGCTTTTATTGTCCTCATTTGTAAGTCGCTTTGGATAAAAGCGTCTGCTAAATGACTAAATAAATAATAAATAAACTTAAGATCATACTATGTAAACTGCCCACATAGAAACAAATTCAAATACTTTTAGGAAAGAAATCCCAGATAATTTTAATGAACACATTTAGTAACAGTGCTTTCAGCAACATTTTAACAAGATCAGTATGTTCTGTGTGAGGCTTTGGTAAAATAGTACCAGCATGAGTCACTGCTTGATCAGAGGAGCAAACCTTTCTAAGTTAGGGAAAAAACCATGGTAACCACTGTTTACACTTTTTTCCCTCTATCAATGAGGAAACTGTTTTTCGCAGACATTGTCTAAAACTTACTCGCTGAGAACACTACATTGCTGTTCTGTTAAATTACCAGATTAAACTCATCTGTTAGATGCAACTTGATTTGTGGTTTAATGATACAGAAAATTATGAAATGGCAACTTGAAACAAAGTAATTACTATAAAGTCTAAGCAAGGCTTTGGTTTTCAATACATATGGGTACAGTTGGCGCAAAAATAGTTATGTTCAAAGAAAGACATTGATTGTGCTACCAATAATGGGCTCCCAGTGGATAAAAACCATACTTCTTACTTTTAAATCCCAAAACTGAGAAATGGTGCATGCTAAACTAGCACAAGAGTGCCGGTTTCACTAGAGTGACTCATTAACTGACACCGGCCTCTCTGCTTATCTTCTCTTCAGGCCAAGCTGATAGTGCCCAACAGCACGGCAGGGCTGATCATTGGCAAGGGCGGAGCCACGGTGAAGGCCGTCATGGAGCAGTCTGGTGCCTGGGTCCAGCTCTCACAGAAACCCGAAGGCATCAACCTGCAGGAACGCGTCGTCACTATCAGCGGGGAGCCCGAGCAGAACCGCAAGGCTGTGGAGATCATTGTGCAGAAGATCCAGGAGGACCCGCAGAGCAGCAGCTGTCTGAACATCAGTTACTCTAACATCTCTGGCCCTGTGGCCAACTCCAATCCCACCGGTTCCCCATATGCCAACTCTGCAGAGGTAATGCCGGCTGCTGCCGCAGCGGCAGCGGCCACGGCCTCCAGTCTCCTGGGGCAGGCCAGTCTGGCGGGAGTGGGCGCCTTCCCCACCACCATGTCCAGCTTCTCAGGGAACGACCTGCTGACTATCACATCCGCACTGAACACGTTAGCCAGCTACGGATACAATACCAACTCCCTGGGCCTAGGGCTCAACCCTGCGGCTGCCTCAGGAGTCCTCGCTGCTGTGGCTGCAAGCGCTAACCCTGCTGCAGCCGCGGCCGCCAACCTGCTAGCCTCCTATGCCAATGATGCGTCCACCAGCTCCGGCCACCACGCGACCAGCCTGGGAGGCTTCACGCTAGGCTCGCTCGCCGCCGCCACCGGAGCCACCAACGGCTACCTGAGCGCCGCTTCCCCGCTGATGGCAAGTTCACTACTGGCCACCGAGAAGCTGACCGAGGGGGCCAAAGATGTGGTGGAGATTGCGGTGCCGGAGAACTTGGTGGGCGCCATTTTGGGGAAGGGAGGCAAAACACTTGTGGAGTACCAAGAACTGACGGGAGCCCGCATCCAGATCTCCAAAAAGGGAGAGTTTGTTCCTGGCACCAGAAACCGTAAAGTTACCATTACCGGATCGCCAGCCGCCACACAGGCAGCCCAATATCTTATCAGCCAGCGAATCACATATGAGCAGGGTGTGAGGGCCACCAATCCGCAGAAGGTGGGCTAAAAACAGGGAGTATGAAAAAAGGAGAGAAAAGAGTGGGGGATGGGGAAGATACAAAGAAAGATGGAGGGCGTGAATATCAACGAAAATCAGCCACATTCTTTGTGGGAAAAATCTCAGTATTAAAAAAAAAGATGGAAATAATTCCTCTCAAAGTGGAAAATTTGAAAAAGAAAAATGTGTAAAATGTAAATATGGGTTTAATCCTTAAGTTCTGGATTTTTATTGGTTAAATTTGTTTTGTTTTTTTCTTTTGTTTAGTTTTTTTTGTGTGCATTTTCTGGACAGCAGTGAATGGCATTTCAACCTGGCATGCTGCCTCGCTGCAGTTCCCAGCAGGTGGGCAAGGTGGTCGGATGGGGGACAATGGGGTGGAGCAATCCCAGGAATCAGCCCTTTCCCCACCCCCATCCCCTCCTAGCTAACAGATTTTTGTTCTTTAATCTTTTAGTCCTTAGTTTAACTCCCACACTTTCGCCCATGCCTTCTCTTTAAGAGGGCCTGAGACTGATTATTTACCCCTCCCCCCTCCCTCCTCCCTCAGTCTGTGACACCGCATATCCCACCCCAGCCCTTCTGATCCCAGCCGGCCCAACCCTGGGCAGGATAGGGCAGGGGAATGCGAGGCTGCTGCAGGGTCTCTCAGCGCCACTAGACATTGACCTGGGGTTCCAATTGGACCAGGTGCATGCCATTACTGATGTTGTTAGCATAAGGGAAGCTTGTAGATCATGTTGCGGACATAGGCCAGGACGCAAAACACACCTGAATCTTTCGTACCAGAGCTCCTAGAAATTGTGGCATTTGTCTATGGGATTCGAGGTCTGGTGTTTATACAAATACTATTATCATTATTATTATTACTACTACTATTATTATTATTACAAATGATCATCTCCATCAACGTTATTTATTCATATGATTTCACCCATAAGGACTGAAGTATTTTCTTTTGTTTTTCTTAATCTGTGAATTCAGGTTGACATGAATGTAAAGACAATATTTTGGATTTAGTTTTTTATTTAAGTTGATTGAATCGTGTGTCCATGTAATATATGTCTTATTTAACGTCCAGTGATAACTGCACCGTCGGCACCAACAGAGAATAGGGGCAGATGTACTGTACAGTGATATTAATACAAAAAAAACACACAAACACACACCCTCAGCAAACTATTACCAGACTTAAATGCTGAAAATGCAACTAAAAACAGACTTGAAATCACAGTGGGACTAGACAATTTATTCACATATCTACTGAATGAGAATGTAGGTCTTTGCACAAGTCCAAGGGAGTGTATCAGAATACGACTTTATATAAAAGCCAATCCCTTTCTGTAACGTCCCAAAACATATCCCCGTCTTTACTCTACGCTGCCCCTCTGCAGCGCGAGAGATTGTGCACTTTGAGCCGCTGCAGTCGAGTATCTGCACAAATCTGCTGGAAAATTTGCGTAGATATTCCATATCAAATCAGAAAATTGGCCCTCAGAGCTCTGAGGCGTTTCATGAACACATACTACTGAAAGACTAAGAACAAATTCTGATCTGCACAGACTGCTTAGTAACATGGTCTTCTCTGGAAATCCCAGGTTGTGTGTTCTACTGTGACTATACATCCTGAGTCACCAGTAAATCTAATTCTAGAACGGGCTACCCATGTGAAGATCTTTCTGTGCAGATCTGAACTACCCATGTGCGACGTATGTGCTGCTAATAAGGTCCTATTTCCTTTTTGTTTTGAATCGGAGTACACTGAATTTCGTCTTAATGCACTGTGAAGTGTGGAGGCCGTGATGGAAGGCCAAAAAAAGTCAGGGTTTCTATATCGTTATTGCATCGAAGCATCACCATGATGGAATGTACTCATGTGGAACGTCTCATATTTATAACAACCTCCATGGAGTCAAGGTATCGCTTACCGTAGGGTGGAAAGGAAGCCTGGATGGTTTGTTAGGTTGAGGTCAGACTCTTCGGACAAGTTTTTTTTTTGGCATCATGTTGCAGTATCCAACCTTAACTTTCCAAGTGTGCACTAACTAACTGCCAGCTGACCATGCATATTTATCGTGAAGGAGCAGAGGATGGTATATTCTGTACGCTTAAACTTTAGGTGTCCTCCAAAATTATTCTGTGTCTAAACAACTGTTATTGATTCTTTACCGGCTGGAATGAGCTGAAAAATACCAAACTCATCGAAACCACAAGACTTTAGCACAGAGAGCATTTCCCAAAGAATAATTAGACCAACAGAAAAAGACAGAGTTTGTGCTCTCTCTCCCAATGACTAAAGTTATGATTCTTTCCTCTCCTTTGCTATTGGAGCACCAGGGAGAGTAAATCTGAACCGATTGGTAAGGAGGCTTCTTTATTCTCATCTAAAAACCATCACCTCCCCTCACCTCTTCTCAACACCCTTTTTTTACCTTTGTGCACCCCCATTCTGACACATCAACCCAGAGACCCCCTTTTCTCTCACATCTCTCCATGGGTGGCGATGTCTGGTGTAACAGTGCATGTATGCTTGCCCTTTCACGAAACAATGATGGTGTGAAAGGGAAGATGCGCCTACAGAGTAGAACTAGAAGCTTGCAGTAGATCATGATTGCACACATCACACCTTCAAAAAGGGACTTACTATGAGCCATCCATGTGTTTGTATGGTGTGCATGTGTGTGTATATATGCGTGTAAAGGTGATAGGTTTGGATAGATATGAATGTGTCTAGCAGTTGGGCCCAAGGTGAGGAGGTCTAACAAGTGACTGAAACAGCAATGACTCAAGGTACTCTACTATAAGATAGTTGCATGTTTTTTTTTTTTTTGAGGTGCAATTTTCAAACAGTAGGGCATAATAGTTCAGATTTGAAGATCAATACGAGGAAGTGATGGCAATCGAGCGCCTCCGCATTTTAGAGTGCATCTATGTGTTTGGTTTTACCCATGATGCAGTACTTCATCAGACACTTCAGAGCTTGAACGAGTCTCAGTAGATCCCCCAGATCATTTTTTTGTAAAAAACAAAACAAAACAAAAAAAACCTTGGTTACATCGCCGTTTGATCTAAGACACATAAAATACAAGATATTACTGTGAGAATTCAATGTGAAAACTATAAAAAGGTGCCAACATAGTGTCAAGGAGCAGCTTTTTGTTTTGTTGTTTTTGTATTCAGTGCTAAAAGTACATATTGGGGGGGGG